TGGGTGTCATAGGAATATGCTTTGGAAACAAACATTTTAAGATTCTGTTAGGGAGGACCCACATACCTCCTCCCCCAGATTGTCAACAAAAGGCAAGAAGGGACAGGAAGGTGACATTTGAGATGAGGCTCAGGGGAAGGAGATCCGCCAGCTGAGGCATTATGGGAAGATGGGCGTGCACGTGCAAACACCTGTAAGTGTGTAAAATCTCAGTATGGCTGGGGCTTAGAAAGATATGGCTGGAGACATGGAAGCAACCTCAATGTCCATCAATAGATGACTGGATAAAGAAGATGTGAGATATAGATATGATATATATATAAGATATATAGATACAATGGACTACTACTCAGCCATAAAAATAATGAAGTAATGCCATTTGCAGCAACACGGATGGACCTGTAGATTGTCATACTAAGTGAGGTAAGTCAGCCGGAGAAAGACAAATACCATATGATCTCATTGTATGTACAATCTTAAAAAGTGATACAAATGAACTTATATACAAAACAGAAATAGACGGTCAAAAAAAACAAACTTTTGGTTACCAAAGGGGGAACAAGGGTGGGGAGAGATAAATTAGGAGTTTTGATTAGTAGACATAAATTTCTATATAAAGTAGATAAACAAGGTCTTATGGTATAGCACAGGGTACTATATTCAATATTTTATAATAACTTATAATGAAAAAGAATATATATATGTATAACTGAATCAATTTGCTGTACAGCAGAAACTAACATGACATTGTAAATCAACTACAATTCAATTTAAAAAAAAAGATTTGACCAGAGACTTACCAGACTCAGATGATCAGGGCCCCACGTGCACTCAGGAAATGGAAGAGTTTAGAAGTCTCTGGCTGCGTGGGGAGGGAGGGTGGGAGCTGGGGAATCACAGAGGAGTTTACCACGCTGGTTGAGACCAGTGGTGGCAGCAGTGGTGGACCAGACAGGGGCCATGGATGGAGAAGAGGTGGGCAGATTGAAGAAATACTTAGAAAGGAAAATAGGCTGAGCCGGGGGACTGACTGGATGGAGGAACCTGAGGAAAAGGAATGGGGGCTGACTTAGATTTCTGGGGGCCACTGGGGCCACCTGTGAGGTGGGGACACAGAAGCAGGATCAGATGAGGCAGGAACATGATGAGTTGGACTTTGGCTGCCTTGTAAGTGGGCAAATGCTCTGGAAAATACAAATGGCCTTGTTGAAGTAGAAATCTTTGAGACCATGACATGAACCAGAAACCAACTATTCTGTTGAATTAAACACTTATGAGGAATCAAGGAATAGTTCAGAACCTCACCAGCTTGGAGAAGCTCCCAACTCCATCGTCTTGTCCCCTGCCCTGAAGGATAATGGCTGTTCAGGATACAGTGTGTTTGGAGTATATCCTGACAGCCCACCCTCTAAATGTTTATGTGGCAGTGACATGATCCCCAGCAAATATCTGAGATCCTGTGTGTGTTGCTTTTCTAGACAACAATGCTCTATCTAAAAATCTTTCCATGCTAATTAGAGCCATGTCATTTGAAGAATGGTTTTAGGATGTTCCAGTTGCTGTAACTGCCTAAGAAACCACAGCTTAGTGGCTTAAAACAACAATTTGTTTATTCTCTTATGGTTTTTTGGTCTCAGAAGGTGGGAAGGGCTCAGCTGGGTGGGTACACATAGCTGGGGACTGGCCAGCCACCTCTTTGTCCTCAAACAGTCTTGGTGGCCTTTCAGCATAGGCTTGTCTGGGCTTCCCCACAACATGGTGGCCTCCAGGCCACTGGGCTGTTCCATGACAGTTGATGGCTTCGAAAAGGAGTGTTCCAACAAGCAAGGCGGAATCTGTGTGCGTTGTACAACCCGCCCTTTGCAGTCCCAGTTGTCATGTCCATTGTACTCCACTGGTTACCAGAGGGTCTCAAAGTCAAGGGAAGAATTCGATTCCACGTCTTAACGGGGGAGTTGCAAGGTTCTTGAAGCGCAGGTGGGATAGATGTTGCTGTGGCTGTTTATCACATGTGAGGTTCCACATTATTCCTGACTGTCCCCCTCCCAGTACTGGCTGTCAGGGCACCCCTTGGGCTCCTGTCACACCCTGACCATGTGGCATTCCAGCTGTGAGGACCTGTTCACTCAAGCCTTGTGGAGGCCCTCCCTGTCTCCTTGAGGACACAAAGACCTGTGCTCCATCACTCAACCCACCACCCTTTCCAGGGGGCCATTTCACCCTCCCAGACCCTGGGCCTTTCCTCCAGGTCCAAAGCAGTTCCAGCCCCACAATCCTGGACCCAAACCTCTGTGGCCTGGGGCAAGGATCTCAGCCTCTCTGAGTCTCACTTGTGTCATCTGTGAAATAGGAATAAAGTCCCCCACCCCTCAGGGTTGTTGGGGGAAATGGAGGAGGAAGGCACTGGCCAGCAGGCAGACAGAGAGGGGAAAGGACTGTCCAGACACATGGGTGCTGATGGCAAAGGCCAGTGGAGGGGCGGGGGGAGATAGTAAGCAGCTGTCACCAGGAGTGACAGGAGTTCAGGCTGATGGAAGTCCCTGGTTGATCCCCTTCATTTTTTTTCTCTTAAAACTTATTTTCCTTTTCATCATCACCGTAGAAAATAAAGAAATGCCCAAAGAAGTAGAAACTTCTGTGAGCGACTTTTCATTTCTTATCTCCCAGCGGCCTCAGAGAGTTGCAGAGAGCTGGGCAAAGTCACACAGCCTGGAGGTGGCAGGGCCAGGATTCACACACATGACCATCCAACATGAGAGGAAGGCAAGTGGGGTTTGACCGTCATTTGTTCCAGGACTGGCTGTGCAGCCTGGGGAAATACTTACTTTCTCTGTACCTCAGTTTTCTCATCTGAAAACTGGGACTAACCACCTCAAAGTAGGCAATGAGCAAGAGGTGTGCCCACAACTTTAGCTGAGCACATAGGCACCAGAAGATAGGCTGCATTTCTCAGCCTCCTGTGCAGCGAGGTGTGGCCATTTGACTATGTTGTGACCAGTGGGTACCTAAGACAGTGATGTGTCATTTTCCAGAGATGGTCTCTAAGGGTCGAGTGGGCTTTTCTCCTTCCTCTTTCTTCCTTGTTGACGGCTGGAATTTGGAATGGATAGATGGAGCATCAGCATCCATATTGAGCCATGAGGTGATGCTGGACATGAGGTAGCAAATACTGAAGCAACAAGACAGAAGGAGCTGTTCTCCAACACTGTGAGGCACCAACTTTATAGACTCTGACCTGAAGAGATATGAACTCATGGCTAATAAATCAATATTTTGGATTTTGCTGATATCCATTCACCAACAAACAATATCAGACACATTCTTTTGTCCTATTCAGATTCCACATATACTTTTTATCCCCCCTCAAGGGACTCATTTTTAAACTGCCCTCAGTCTGAATACAGTGAAGTCAAGGCTTTGTGAGCTGATTTTCTGTTAACATTAAAACACATTCAAATCTATTAAAGTCAAAGCCATTCAAACAAACAAAAAATGTGAACTTTCAAAATGACATGAGTACCTTGGCAAATCCACTCGCTAAAAAAGTAACCACAAAACTAGAGAGTTGTCAAAAAAACAACCATTTCAGAATTCTGGAGGTTAATCAAAGGCATTAGACAAATTAAGAAGCATTTACTCAAGAAAAATGACTGAATAGCAAGGTAAGAGCAATGGGAAGTTATGGGGTTTTTTGTTTTGTTTTGTTTTGTTTTGTTTTGTTTTTTGTTCTCCCAGCTCCTTTTGGCCAGGCCAAGCCATGGAATCACTGCTGGAGGGGGATGATTTGACCTGGAGCTGAGTGGTACCTCTGGCCACTGGGCAAACTGGCAACAGTAGGGATCTCAGGGTGGAATGAATGGGGAAGGCCAAAGTCTCCTGACTAGCTGAGGTTAAGATTACCTTGTTGCAATCACCTCCTTCCAACCCTGCCCCCACCCTTCCCCCACCCCCCAGAAAAGATCCTGGTTGCAACAGACTGGTAAACGAGTCAGCAATCCCTCGGAGGACTGGAGAACGAAACAGTCGGCCCCACGTGTCCTGAGGGTCTGGAGAGCTGCATGCGTGCACCAGGCTGCACAAGAGCTGGAGGGAGCCCAATCAACCCACAAATCCCAGTAACCTGCTCAGCAGAAGGCTGTGGGCATGGGCTGAGAAAACGCAGGCAGGATGGGCAGGGAGCAAGGCCAGGTTTGGCTTGCAAACTGCCTGAGCCTGGGCTGCTGGCACAGGACCTCACTGACTCAGGTGTTTTGAGCACAACCTCTGAGGCCTCCCCGGCTGACCTCAAAGCGAGGCTGACCCCGGGGGAGCCAGCTTAAAAACAAAGAATTAAAAACCAACTTTCAAAAACTGAGCAGAGCTATCCACAGCTAGCAGCATCGTGGGGGAGACAGACCCTACAGAGTGAGTTCAGCAATTAGTAAAACAAACACAACAAGACCACCACCACGACAGCTCCCTGTGCTAGGGGTAAACGGGATTCAGAGTTGCTAAAAATCTATTATTTAAAATGTTCATTTTTGTTGGGAGTTCAGGATTTGCAGGTACTAACTACTATATATAAAATAAACAACAAGTTCCTACTGTAAAACAAAAACAAAACCCTAAACCGCAAAGAACCCGCAAATATGCCAAGCAATGGCAGCGGAAGAGCCAACCAGAGGCACATTCCTGCGTCTTCAAATTTTTCCTAAGTTTCCCTTGATTTCTGTCACTCTCTCAATTACTTTTATAATAGAAATAATACAATAAAAAGAAAAATGTATTCTAGTGACAATATTTATGTCTTCTACTCCAAAGAAAAAAATGTCCATTTAAAAAAAACTGTAAGACATGCAAAGAAACAGGAAAGTGTGGTCCACCCTGAACAAAAAAGCAGTCAATAGAAAGCTTCTCTGTGGGGGTCCAGATGTCGGACTTCAAAGCAGCATTAGGAATATGTTCAAAGAACTAAAGGGAACCATGTTTGAAGAATTACAGGCAAATATGATGACAATGACTCACAAATACAAGGTTTTAATGAAGAGACAAAAACTACAGAACAGAACCCAAAGTAAGTTCTGGACTTGGAAGTTCTCCCTGATCACTTGGGCTCCCACAAGGCCCTGGGCTCCTGTGTCATGGCTCTGACTGCTATGTGGCACCTGCCTGTTTATGTGACTGTCTCCCCGACCCCACTTTGGCTGCAAGCAGGGAAGGGACTGAGCTGTTTCCTCCCTGCATGATGGGGCCGGCCTGAATGAACGATGGAGAACAGCAGTGGTGAGAGAGCCAGAGAGAGCCAGGCTGACGTGAGGCCCAGGAAAGGTGTCTTCCTTTTCCCGGGCCTCAGTGTCCCCCCACTGTGAAATGGGTGCCCTGGGATCTGGTGATGGGAGGACAAGGCCCCAGGAATGGCAAGGCCCCACATGGGCCCGCAGTGGGCATTCACACCAGGAGCCGGGAATAAGTCCACCAGAAGGCGAGACTTTCGTTGTTTGTTTAATTTATTACTGTTCGACATCCAGTGACATTGACATATCCTCGCTGGGCCTGCGAACCCTGGGCCCTGGCGAGTCTGACCTGTCCAATAAAATACAGTACGAGGAGTGGACGGCTACACACATGCATCCACAACTTAAACTACAGTGATTCCAAACTGCGGCCGAAACAGTACTGCCAGGGAAGGAAAAGAAGAGAAGGTGTCACGTGTTCCCCAATTCATAGTTTTTTTTTTCTCGTTTTAAAGTTAATGCTGTCACAAACGCTACTGACACCAGGACAGGGCCAGACACAAACAGTCCTACATCTTCTATGCTGTATAAATATGGAAGATTTCATTTATACACTTTTACCCCAAGTCTGAAACTACATCTGTTGCTACCCGTCCCTGCTAAGGGCTACACCGTCTCGGCTCTGGAACCAGGGGCTCGGGGTCGAGACTCTGGAATGTCGGGACTCAGTCTTCCTCGCTTCCACTTCCTGAGCGGTCCTGGAAGGGGGACAGGAGGAGACAGTGTGAGTCAGCCCTGCCTGTGAGAGCACCCTGACTGGGGCCAACCTCACCTTTAAATGCACTAAACCACCAATGCACGCAGTGGAACCACTTTCCCCGGGTGAGCGCGCGGTACTGGCTCCGTGAGCCTGGAGGCGGACTGGCCTTTGCCCTCTGCCCCTGCTGACCCGGCCACACCTCAATGTCTCTTTTCTCTGAGGACCTACGCCCACACTGACTCCTCCTCGGGATCTGGGAGGCTTGCTGGGCCCTCCTTGTGCTGACCCACTGCTGTCTGCCTGGCTCTGTGGCTTCAAAACCACCTTGGTTCTTCCTGACCACAGGAGATCTTCCCTCCTCTGCAGAAACACTTCACACAGCTTGGCCAGGGCCACAGAACACACTGCTGGATCCAGACCGGGCAGCTGGGGAGCTTTACAGCCCAGACCCTCCTCTCAAGGTACAAGGGCCACCCCGCATGTTCAAAACATCATCACTGTTCCCGTAAGGCCCTGTACGTCTACAGTCAGACTGACTTTGAGGCACCTGGTTTGCTATTACAAGTAGCTGAATGAGAAAAACAGCAACAACGAAATGGTGCTTGTCAATGGTGGGAGCCGGGCCCCGGGTGATCCATGTGACCCCTGCCCTCCTTTGTAGAAGTGGAAACAGGCTCAGAAGTCAATGTACTGCCCAGGTGCCACGGCAGGGAAGGGCCAGGTGTCCTGGCCGGAGCCAGAGGGCAAAGCTTATTGAAACCCAGTAAACGGGTCTGCTCCTGCCCGACGCCTGCAAACCATCCACTGCAGGCCTGAAGCTCCTGTGGCTTCTCCCTGGGGTGCAGGGACTGCAGCCTGTGCCAGGGTTGGGGATGACCACTCACAGCCCTGTTCACAGTGTCTGCTCCACATCATTTTTATGACTGTGGATTACGGGACTTTTGTTTTTCCCTTGTTTTTTAAAACCCACTACCATTGTTTGGAAATCCTCCTACCCAGGCCAGACCACAGCCAGCAGCAGAGGCCTGCGGGTGCACATGCGGTGGACACCGGGACAGCCTCGGCTGTGGAGGGCCCTGTGCCAAGGCGACAGGGGACGGTCTGGTGGCACCTCCAATTCAGTGCCTCCTGTCTCCATCCTAGATCAAGACCTGGCCCTGTCGGGCTCAGCACGGCAGCCCTGCAGGCTGCAGCAGCGGGAATGAGGTGGGATGCCCTGTCCGAACCCATGCCCATCAGCTCTAAGAGCAGTGGTTCTAGGGTCACAGGGACTCAGGCTAGAATCGCACACCACATGGTGCTGAGCCCCAGCTGCCGCATCTGTGGATGCGGGTGTGGGAGCATCTAGCCTCCTGGGGCCGTGGCGCAGGGCCCAGGGCTTGGGGGGCTTTACCTCTTCCTGCTCCTCCTCACTGTCGTCGTCGCTCACCACTGGCTTGGCCCTGGACCCTCGGCTCGGCCGCCGCCGGCCCCCCTTCAGTCGATCCTGGGCCTTCTCCTTCCGGCCGAGCTTGATCTTCACTTTGACTGAGCGCGCTGGGGTGGGGACCAGAAGGAAAGAAGATATGAGCTCACACCGCGGGGCCTCGGAGACAGGGCACTGGGAGCAGTGACGGCTGTGGACAGATGGGCGTGACCTGCTCGAGCCGACTGGCTATAGCTCCAACCACCCCGCCCAGCCCGGGACTCACACTCAGACTCGGAGCCTTCCTCCTCGCCCTCCTCCTCCTCCTCACTCTCCTCGCCCTCACTGTCGTCCTCCTTCTCGATTTTCTGCCGCACACTGGTGAAGACTGACTGCAGGACAATGGAGTCTTCGTAGATCTGGGGGGAGACACGCAGGGCTCAGGTTGGGGCATCTGATGGGGGGCTGCCTGCCCACCCAACCCAGCCGGCCCTGGCAGAGAGACAGCTCCACAATCCCTTCTCAGCCAGTGTCCCAGGGCGCACTGAGCTAGGAAGTGGTCCTGGACAAAGGTCAGGCGTGTTGGCCCAGAAAAAGCCACAGGTTCCTCCCTTCCTCTGAAGTCACAGGAGCATCCACTGTGAAAGGCTCCTACAGCTACGGTGGAGACTCACGTCCCTCACTGAAGCCAGCATTTTCCCCAAATCTATGATTGTATAATTTCTTCTCCAGGAGGCACCCGTCCCAACACTCAGGCAAATTCTGCTAGGCTGAGGCTCTGTGTGTGTGCGTGAACGTCATCATGGGACAGGAAATAGCACAGGGCTCCTTCCAAGAGTCCCCTAGTGAATTCCAAATAAATTCTGAGATCTACACAGACTGCTCCCAGGGCCATCCCAATGGACAGGACTGAGTCTCTTTCATGTTTTGCTTCTTTCTGGCCATTTTTTCAGCAATGAGCACATACTGCTTTTGTAATGAGTGAAACAGACCAAGCTGTGGGGAATTTGTCTTTAAACTGGAAATTCCACAGGGGGCGAGGGGCACACGGTCCGGCCCCGGGGTGCGGCTCACCAGGGAGCCCTCCAGGTTGAAGGTCTGCGCGTTCTGGCATAGCAGCATGACGTCCTTCTCCAGGTCGTTGAGGCTGCGGTACTTGTGGTTGCGGATACGCTCCTGTGGGCCGCGGGAGAAACAGCCTTACCTCGGGGCCCCCTCGTGCCCAGAGACCCCAGTGCTGGCAGAGCCCCTCTGCTTAACGAGATCTCAGCCAAATCCTCAGGCTCTGTGCAGACTCGGAGGCCCAGGCCCACCGAACAGAGCCGCACAAGGCTGAGCTATGGGCAATGGGGCCACCTACTGGCACATCTGGGACCCTTGAGACCACAAGGAACCCCAAAGGGCAGTGACTGGGCCCCTGGTCGCAAACCTGTCAAATGCCAATGTGGCACAGCCCTGCAGAGAGAAACCCCGCCTCCCACTTGACGTGGGGTTACCTTGATCTTCTTGAAGTCCACGGGCTTGCGGATGAGCTCATAGTACTCGGGCAGCTCCTTGCGGGAGGGCAACTGGATGAACACCTCGCTGAGCTGACGTCCACTGCTACTGTAAGGAGAGACATGGCGGCATCACTCACAGGCCCGCCTGCTGGGGACCCCCGCCCCACCGGGCCCCCCCACTTCATCGCCAGAGGACAGAGGGTGACAAATTCAAAGCCGACTCAGGAGTTACTTCCTGTACATGTCTGTGCTCTCTTGTGAGTTCTGGAACATTCCTGAGGGGCAGCCACGTACAGAGACACCTACAATGCATTTGAAATGAGGCTCTGAACTCAACCAACTCTCCTGGCCCACTCTGCCCTGGAGGAAACCTCATGTGCCACGTGCAGAAGCCTGCTCAGCACTCGAAAGAGGGACAGTCCTAAGTACTTACACACAAGAATCAGCTGGCTCGGGGTGGGAGCATTAAGCGCCAGCATCTTGAGAGATCGGGTTTCCAAGCATGTCCTGTGCCTTTTGTAGGCAGCACTTAAAAGCACTGAACTTATGCCCCCTGGCAAGATGCTAACAGAAGACAAAAAGCTCTTTTCTAGTCCTCTCCACTGAGAAGGTGCTTGTTTCTCACAAGCGAGCAGAGGAGACGTGCCACCCCTGGGCCTGGCTGTGCCAGGGCTGGGAGCTCTGCAGTGACAACGTCCCGGGGCCTGACGAGGAGGGGGCGAGCGGGTTCTTCAAGAACTAAAGGATATCAACCCTGTTTCCTTCTGCTCTGTCAGCCTTGAGAACCAGGATTGTGTCGAGAGACAGAGGCCCAGACGGTGGTCCAGAGAGCTGGGGACCTAGTCACGATCCTTGCTCTGTGGGTCCCCTCTCCACACCCAAGCACCACATACTCTGGCTGTGGTTTCATCCAGGTCCTGCTGCCAAAACATCTGCCCTGTTGCCTGGGCTCCTCAAAGTCACTTCTAGGAGAGGGTGGACTGGCTCCCGATGCTGCTGGTGGGCTGAGCGCCGTTGGCTCCTGGCAGCACTCCCCATCAGCACTGCTTAGTGCCTGGTCTTTTGAGACAATTCTCAGAGAGCAGGGCAGCCCGCCCTCACCTTCCCACTGCCCACGCCACTTGCCTGACGTCCTGAGTGCATCTTGTCCTCATTTGTGTTTACTGCTCTATGAGACAACAGTGACAACAAGACTGCTTTTTGGCGTTTGTCACTGAGGTGCCCCTCATGTCACAACAGCACTAAGCTCTGCCAGGACTGCCTTTCCGAGGCTGTTGCCATCAGGATGTCCATGCATCAGTGAGGCCCCCAGCCCTCCTCCCCGACATGGGGGCCTTATGAGACGCAGGGGCTGGAATCTGGTCCTCGCACCTCACCAGCCTCAGACAACCGCCATTGTTTGGTCTTTGCTCTGGGCCAGATGCCTGACACACACATTCTCACCCAACTCTTGTTATTCCAACTGTGTTAGGAAACAGATATGGAGCTCAGCCCGGCCAGCTCCCTCCTCCTCAGTGTGAAGTGGAGATGCCTGCATTCAGCCAGGACATGGCCCCCTCTCCTTTCAGACGGCCACATCCTGCCTCATGTGGGGTCAGCTGGTCAAGATCCGGGAGCCAGGCTAGCCCCAGGCCATCATCCCCAGAGGCACCGGCTTCCTTTCCCACATGAATAGGTGAGTGGTTTGGCCACAGACAACTGGAATTTGCTTACATGAACTCTGAAAATGAGAACAGGTTAACGAAAACACGTTGCTGGCTCTACTTTGGATAAGCAGACAGGAAGGAAGTCGACCCACCTTGCTCTGGGCTACTCTGGTCCTAACTCAGCAGAGCCCAGACCCACACCCCCCGACTCCTCAACCCGAACAGGCCCTGCTCCCCCTCGTGACCATCTAAGCCGAGAGTCCTCCTATCTCCTCCTGACAGCGTCATCCTACACTTCCGGTCACAATGCACAGCAGTCAGTGCGTTTCCCACCCCGACCAAGACCACGTGCCTGCGAGCGTGAAGTAACAGAAGAGCCTGGGGCAGCAGTCTCCCTCACTGAGCGCAGTGGGCTCTGGTATTTCCTGTTTCACTTCTGAGAAATGCCAGCTGTGACCTACGAAATTCATCCTGCAGCCCACTAACAGGCGTGGAGGGGGTGCTGTGCACAGTGCCAGGTCCAGACTCATTGGGCCTCAGGCCCCCGGTGGCATCCACACAGGTGGTCGGATCTTGGTTGCACAGGGCCCTGCAGGGAGCTCGGGAAGCAGGATGCTAGGGCCACGATACAGAGGGAAGTTCTGTAGTATGACCCCCTCATCAACCTCCAGAAGAATGGTGCCCCTGAGGATGCCTGAAGACCCTTCTCTGGCATGACCTCCTAAGAATGCAGATGGCCGGGGACCAGCGGTACATGAGGGAGGGACAGAGTGTGAGAACCACACGGGGCTTTTGATAGTGAAGACCTCTTGGAAAGCCCCTACCATAAGATTTAGGTTGCAAAAGTGCTGAGATACCATTTTTAATCCTTAGAAGGTCCCTGGAGAGGCCCCCACACACCAGGGGCTGGTGTGGCCGGCTTGGGCTGAGAGCCTTCCAGGCTTGATCACCAGTCCCCCGATTGTGTCAGAGATGGACCCACCACAGCTCCCGCCCCGCTGGAATGGAGCCCAAGAGCTTCTGAGGGCTGCCTGGCCCTCCAGGATGGCCTGTCCCTGACCTCTGACGTCAGCACCCCTCTCCTCAGGGTCACCTCAGAATCATCAAAGTGGCTGCTCCCCAAAAGAACCCCAGCTCCCGCCCTCATCTCTGCGTAAATGTCACCTCCCTGATACTGCACAATAAAAAAGATGACTGAGACGAGCCACAAAGGCAAGAATCTTCAGTGGGCTCCTGTGAGCCTCCTGACCTCCAGCACTTGGCTAAGGTTGGCTTCTTCTTGAACTTGAGGTTCTGGGACCTCACAGGGAGAGCATTAGGCCTGGTCTCCCTGAGACGCATGGCGTGGCAGCAGCTCATGTGATTCAAGACTGCCTGAGGCCCTGTTGTGGGCACACGTAGTGGTCCCCTTGTCCACCTGCTGTTGACAAGCACCCAGGATGTGTCCAGTCTGCAATGTTACAGGGAAGCGGCTGTGGACACTCTTGTCCAAGCACTGGGCTCAAATCTCTTAGGAAGGTACTGGGGGTGGGGTGCCTGATCCCCTGGCAGGGTGATCAGCTCTGGTAGTCACTGAGCCCATGGTCACTTCTCTGGCAGCAAATGAGCCATCCTACAACCTGGGTAGGGACCAGCATCTCCTTTGGTTCTTAATTCACTTTTTCTTGATGAGCAGCAGGGAAGCTGGACACCTTTTCACAGGCGAACTGGTCCTCTCATGACCTCTCCCAGGCAGTACCGGTTCACCGGGGAGACCTTTGTCAGACATGTTTACCACAAACACCTTCTCCAGTCCACGGCATGTCCTTTCTCCCTTGACGGTGTCTTTTGGTGACTGGATCTTAGTTTGGATCAAAGTCTGGCTCATCAGTATTTCCTTTTATACTTGCTGTTTCTCCTGTCCTGTTAAAGAAATCTTTGCCTACCCTGAGGCCACAGGTATTGTACTTCCTTCTAGAAGCTTTGCTATTTTAACCTTTACATGTTATTAGGCACGAGGCACACTGGTGAGTTTTTGTCCACAGCAGCTACCATTCTCCCCACCGTATCTCGTCTGTCTTCACCAGCCAGAACACAAGTCACGAGGGCAGAGACCTCATCGGTCTTACTTGCTCCATCTTTTGCACCAGGAACAAAGCCAGGTACACGTAGGGGCTGAAGAAACATTTTAAATGAATAAAGGGCTCAGGATGAAAGTCTCAGGGCCACAGAGCAGGGTTCAAACTCAGGTCTCACCAAGGATGTCTCTGAGCAAGGATGCCTCATCACCCCTCATCCGCATGGTCATTTATATACCACCCTGTTCCAGAAAGGACTCTGGTGGCAAGCACCAGGAACCCCACTGCCCAGAGTGTGCCCATGGCAGCCTCCTATCTTGTGAGACTTGCTCTGAAGAAGTTTCTGCAGGCAGATTGTCTGGAACTCCTGCCCCGTGTCTGGCCACCTGGCAGTGGTGGGGACAAGAGTGAAGGAGCCTGGGAGAATCCTGAGGCTGTGAGGATCGGCCCTGTGACCCCAATTTAAACACGAGGGAAGGAAGTGCCCAGAGGGCCCTCATGCCCCCAGTCTGGGCTGTCACACTCGCAATGGAGGCCGATACGTGTGACAATGAGAATAATGGTAACGTTCTTCTCCTGCCTCTAGACGTCAGCTCCCACAGCAGGGATGTTCTTTTATCTCATTCACTGCCCTGTCCCCACCAGCCATGAGACATGAGAAATCGGAGGCCTCCGAGTGACTAAGGCCTTGTCTGGCACCCCCAATTCCTTCCACATCTGGCCCAGTGGTAACTTACTGAAGCAAGTTTGTGGCAACAAGTCTAACCACATGGTGGGGAAGGCCTCGTCTAGTTTTACAAGCCCTAGTCTGTGGAGCCCAAAGAGCCCTGGTGGATCCTTATTTAACTTACCCAGATGGCATCTGCCTCCTTATGGATATGCACCCTCCTCAACGCCAACTCAGGGTTCTGGTGGGGCTGCCCACCATCAAGTCCCAACCTCTCCCTCAAGACTCAGGCAAGACCAAGCACAGCTCCTCAGCCATCTGGTCTCAATGGCTGGCCCAGGCAAAGCCCTGGGACACAAGCTAGCGAATCAGAGCTCTTCCCTGGGCCTTTCTACCAGGATCTGGGGAAGCACAGGTCAATTTCCTCTTGGGGTGTGAGGCCTTGAGGACGGTGCCCAGACCCGTGGGAGCCATACGGGAAGAAGAGAGGTGGCAGATGGCTCTGGGTCCTGAAAGCTGGTCTTCACTAACTCCTCCATGGCCTCCAAGCTGATAGAATCCCTATTCTGTCTGAGGGGCTCAGAACTGGGCTCCTAACACATAGAGCCAAAAAGACCAAATTTCACATGTCCCTTCCATGTGTCCTATAAACAAAGTTACAACATGCAAAGGAGAAACAGAGTCAGAAGAGACCATCTATCGGCATTCTATTCAAACAGATGGAGAAACCAGAGAG